GTACAATTAAAAGAAACTGTAATTTTGTAAGTCAGTTTAGTAGGTGAATATTCTTTTTGAGAATTCGTAAAATTATGATAACATTGAAAACTCGCGCATTATTTGCTATTTTATATGATTTCTTTCCATTTAAGAATAGGGTTCATAATATTGATAGCATATATTTATTTCACAATGTGAACTTTTTAAACATGTTTGAAACAAAAGTTACACGTAAAATAGTTGCACATTGTGAACCGAATACATATGAAGCAAACACGCTGTGAAACAAATAAAAGTTAATTAATACATAAATGGTAGCCTTAAGGTGAAAAGGTTATAATGGGTATCACAATATGCGAAGTTCTTAAACAATTAAACTTCAACTCTTATTGATATCGTAACCAACGCTAAAGGTTGAGGTCATATATCATACTCACTGATATCAGATCGTCATTTGGATCTTTGCATGATATCTTCATACAAAACACAAAAAAAAACTTTTCAGCACACAACACTCTCTCGATGCACGTTATAAATATCAAGTATTACAACAAATACAATTTTTTGATATATTTTTATTATGACAGTAGACACAACTTCTATTTCACTACCGCTGACTCAATCATCGAGACTTGTATTTAAAAAATAAATCGTGACATATTCATAACAATGAATTTTATTTTGATGCATTATATGATAATATATAAACGAATTATTAATTATATTTCTTGAGCCATGTAAAATATACATTTTAAATTAATAAGATTTGACTAATTAAAAACTAAAATTATATAATTAAAATAAAAAAAGGTGCCGATTTGGAAGTTGGGAAAGTGTTGGATGGTATATGAACAAGATGACGAATCAAGTGATGGCATAGAAATTGTCAACTCCAAATGTTTGACCGAGCTGTGGTCGGTCTGGATGATATCTAACGACGGTGATGAAACATATGACCAAAAGAAACACACACATCATAAGACCCATTCTAACAACTAAACTAACCGCCACGCATTTAATTCAAACATAACAATGTCATGCAATAGTGACTTGTACACCATGCATTATAATACAAATGAAAAAAATTACGTGTCTCAAAATAGCCTATGTTGTTCGGTTGCCAAAACAATTGATGTGTTCTTAAAGGTGGGTTACGTGTGAGACTCGTTGAATTGTCGTTAAACAATTTTTTATATCTTCATAATAAAAAAGAACGTATTTGTTTAAAAAATGCGTAATTATTACGTTTTTGAATAAGATAAAGGCTAACTTTACCTTTAATAATATAGACGAAAAATCGTGTGAGAATATGAGTTAAGATAAAAAGATAAGAATAAATCTAGGTCTTTGATCATTTTTAATCTCACTTTACCTCATGAGTTGTGTTTATCACGATAATTGATCTGGTGTATCTCAGTGCACCGCATAATGTTGATTTACAGTTACGATTGATCTGAATTTGAAGGTAGAATCTCTTATTACTTTCTCATCGTAACTTTCATTCTCACTAGAACCAACATTAATAACATATAAGTTTTTTTTTTTTTCTTTTATATCTTATAATTAAAAAACTATAGTTATAACATAAGGGGGGAGACTAAGGTGGTGTTTGTTTTTTAAAATGTGTTAAAGTCTGAAGTCCTATTTTATTTCTGATTTATAAGAGATAGTGCTGAAATCTGAAATATGAATAAATAAGATTGTTTATTTTTGGAAACATTTGAACTTGTTTAAATTATCTATTTTATCCATTAAAAAGCTATAGTGTTGAACTTATAGATAAATTATACAATTTAATATATTTATTCATCATTATTACAAAAATTATATCTAAAATTACATAATTAGCATTTATTTAGACAAAAACATGTCATTAACGGTATTTAACACATTTAAATCTCATTAAAATACATCAATTGAGAGAAGTGATGATTGATTTGGTCAAGATCAATCGAGGGAAATGATCAATTAAAGGTTAATCCATTGAGATATGATGTTGTTGAGGATTTGAAAATAATAAGAGGCAAACAAGAGGTTGATTTACTTCTTAACAGATAAGATAACAATAAGACATAAATGTTTCTGAAAAAATGGAGAAAAAAAACAAACAATCTGAATATCAGATTGACTCTGCATCTTAACAAATCAAACATAAAAAGCTGGTAAAAGTTTTTTTTATAAAAAACAAAGAAGGCCTAATTGCACCCCTATACATTGCTAAATACACTCCAATTTTATATTTTATTTTTCATATACATCAACATCAAAATTCATTTTTTATATTCTCACTACCGAATAAACTGATTTTAACATTAAAAAGATGCAAATAAGAATCTCTTAAAATAAACATTTTATAAACTAGAAGAGTACTCGCGCAATGCAGCGAGATACATCGTGTTTTTAATATTTCATTTTATTCTTTATCTCAGTCGATGTTATAATATGACTTTATGTGATTTTGAG